TGATATGGACGCCTACAAAATAATTGGATGCACCAACCGCTTTTTAGGCAGTATAAAACGGACTTCACACGGTGGTGGCCTCGATCTAAGGAAGCAGCGCAAGTTCAAAGTTCCCAGCAGCCTACTTCTGGTACCTCTTACTAGTCTCTGTTTCACCCGAGTTCCATTAGACAAGGCCTTAAGCCAGTAGGTCATGTATCAAATATACTTCATCCTACATTAGAATTCAGGAAGAGAAGAAAAACAGATGATACATAGCCCAAACAACTCTCCAGAATTTGGCGTGTCCAAACACGCCAAGAAATACGTGAAATCCTGACTATGGTGCAGCGCGGCCGGTCCCGCTTTCATGAATTCCGCTGGATTATTTCAGTATCCGCAAATTGATAAGAGATGATGGGCACAGATCATTCTACTTCGTCAGGCAACCCCGAACTGAGAGCCTTCATTTAGTGCTTGTAATAATAAATGCCAGACAGATGATGAGCTCCATGGCCACCGGTTGCAATACTACGGCGGCAAAGAATGTGGTCTTTTGGATGATACAGTACGCTTTCATGGATTGTCCGCCGTGCTATTCTCAGCCCCTGATGCGTGCTTTGCTTCACAGTAGCCCCTGATGCGTGCTTTGCTTCACAGTCGTGGGAGCTCTTCTGCCGCAAATTTTAAAGCAGCCGACAGTCATGAAGTGCTTGACACTCGCTATTAACGTCCACATAAAATGTGTCCTGCGTGCCTTAGAGCAGATCTTGTGCACAAACACCCAAAGCAACGAGTCGGTATGGGTGCCCCAGATTCATGCATCAGGTTTAGCAGATGACTGCACAATTCACGATTTGACAGGCCTCACTTCCTTCGAGTTCTTGACAAGGAAAAATCCCTGCCACGAACGTACAGATTGCTGATAAATTTGTAGTTAAGAGAGCACTTACCACAATACTAGCCTTCCGCCACCTGGCTGCACAGTCAGAGCTCATATCTTCCCATGTCAGACTGCACAGAAGCCCTGCACAAGCAAGCACAGCGAGGAGGCAGAATTGGCTAAAGGCAAGCTGATATGGATGCCCACCTTGTTCATGCAGACGCAAGCCAAAGCTAAGTTCCTAGTTGGTTTTGTTGGGCTCTTCCAGATTCCGCAATGGAATGGTAACTCCGCCGACACACCACTTTCTTCCCACTCTGCTGCATGGATCCCAATTCAGCCCTATTGGCGGCACCTGAATAATTTTGCCAGCAGACTAGGAGAAATCTGCTTCGAAGATAGTTGATTGCAGAACAGGACTAGGCGATTAAATACCTACCACAGCACAGCAGGTTGGTGACCGAGTAGTCAAGTAGAGTGGGTTCGCGGAGAGTGCCGTTACTTGGGAACCCATCCGAAGCTTTCAAATACATCCATCTTAGCCGAAGCTTAAAGCCACCAGGAACCGCCATCAGCACTTGAAAAATCCCTTTGAAAGCAGAATGCTTGACACTAGTTGAAGTCGTAGCTGGTAGCTCGCTTCTTTAGAGGAACACTGAAAGCGGAACTGTGGACCCACTCACGGCCGATGATCGGGGACTCGGAAAGACAAGGAAAAGCGATAGAATATTTTGTGTACCCTCTGTGAGGCAGCGAAGCTTGACTTTAGTAAAAAGACGACGCGGTAACTCTTAGCCATATACGTCCTGAGATTTTCATTCTAACTTTGACTGAGGTCTATTGTTTCACCACCCGCGACGAGGAGAGCTGCTCGTTGCTCGCTTTGGTATGAAATATAAGTTATGCGCTTCCACTTTATACTGGCTGTGCTATGTTCGTGCTGATTCTGGCAGGTGGCCGGTTTATTCGTCCGAGCTAAGTGGCGGCACATCTCCACGTCATTTACAAGCGACTGCGCAGGGTGGTAAAGAATGAGGTTTGTTTTGCCAGCGTATGCAGAGTGCTTGCCTTTTATGCGTTGCTGCTTTTTCCACCTATAATAGTCCATGAATTTGTAAGGCACTGGGGGATTTTGCCGGGGGATTCTGCTCACAGTCGGCATGAGTGCATCACTCTGGTTTTGTGTCTCTCCAGCACATACTCTTGAAGTAGGATGTTCGTAGTGACATTCACCACTACCGCACCTCCAGTTGCCTTCTTTGCAGTGACCACGCCCTTCAATCACTAACACGTATGCATTAGGCACAAGCACTCCCACAGTCTATCACAGCCCTCAGCCGCAAAAGACTGGTGCATATGCCTGATCGTCTTTTCCTAAACGCAAAATGAATTCTGCGTGACTAAAATAAATGTAGGGAGGATGCTACCCCAGACTTTGTCACAGTTGCGTTCTATGCACCCATAGTTGAGCTAAAGAGGAAAATCGAGCTGAAGTAGCGGCAGAATCAAAAAATGAGCAGACATAGTTTCACACCTCTTAGCTAGATGCTTGTGGTTAAAGCAACAGAGATGCCCTCTGGGCTATTGGGCAAGCTTTCACTCGACGCGCCAACTAGCCTTCAGGAAACAGTCCACCCAGGCAACTTCGATGAGCGAAGAGCCTTCAAGTGTTGAATTCGCATAGTGTTGGCTATGCCCATACGAACTAAATCACTGAAAGTGAAGATTTTTTTTGTTGGGTATAATTCTTGACCTGGAGGCGCGCAGGAGCCTGCCAGTAAGCATAATACGATGGTGGCAGAACAGTGATTCAGTATGTGCCTTTGTGAAACATTCATATTGATTTGCAAAGCGCAAAATCAAGATAGCTTCATTGCTGCCATTAGCCTTGCATGGGTTTGCATGAGCGTTGCGTTGCTTAGTCATCGATTTTGGTATCGCTACATGCACTAAGTTGGTCCGCATTGGAAACTCTTGCTATCTCGTATTCAGAAGCCTGTGTACAGCACCAGAGCTCACTCGCAAGCACAATTTAAAAACATGCTGTCGTTTGGGGCCCTGAGCTGTAGAAGGAGGCGCGAGGAGAGCAGAGGAGCTATCCGGACTGGGGACGCGGCTCGTGCTGAGGGTGGATTTGCCACCGTAGAGCACTTACGAGCTGCATTGTACCCGCAACCCTACAGAGTGGTGGTAACTACACAGGGCTCCAACAATTTTGAGGTATTGGCTGAAGAGTTTTCAGTTATTATCTTCAAGGTATTCTCTACTCCCTAAGATATACTTTCAGCTTAATAATCTTTTCTCTGCATTCTTGCTGAAATCTCATTCAGGGCTGTGAAGCTGAGCTATCTGCATTCACCGAGAGTCCTGGCCACCGTACCTTGTACCATGAGACGTGAAGGCACTGATGACCTGGTAGATGAATTGCCTCCCTCTGTACATTCTACCTGTTTTCTGTTGTGTAGCAAATACACACTTTGCCTTTCTGTTAGCACTGTTTTCGCGCTTCCGGCTGCTTTGTGAGTGCTAGCAGGATGCCAAACTTTTTGCTGCCCTCTGTGCACTTGACTCTGGCTGAGATGTAATGAATACCAGGGTGACTGTGTCGACTTGAGCGATGAGAGGGGTAGCGGGCCACGTTACCGTTAGTCACTGCCTACTACAGTAGTCATGTCATGGAGCCATGGTAGAGAATTGACCCGTTGGTTTTTCTGTTTTCATATCCTATGCATTGCGGAGTAGCGTTAGTACTATACAAGAAGACGCTCTGTTGTGTGAATGCTTGCTAGATGCCATATGCAATTAGCTGTAGCGTTGAGTCCGCTGATGGCTTCGAAGTTGCAGCAACTTGCAACCTTACTGTCCCATTTCACTCATATTACTGCCCTGATGGGGGCGGTCAGGGATAGGGGAAAGCTGTATTGAGTAAAGATTTGCGGGTTTCCTCATCGAGCTCCTTGATGGAGCGCCATACTCTCTGACCACATCGGCACCGGTGATCAAAATATAATGCCACATTTTGCAGTCTCTGTTTTAATGAACAAACTTTGAACACACTCATTAGCTTTGCGAAGATTAAAGAAACCATGTCCTAGGGTGGACGGCCTCACGCACCAGTTTACCAAGCAATTGGCATTGAGGGATGACCTCAACCTTTCACTGAGTGCCCCTCCCTACAGTTAGTCATACGCAGTATCCACTCTGTATTATTCAGAGTCAGTCAACGGCGAAATATTCATGCTAATATTATCATAATGATGCAAGTCAAAGTTGAATATAAGGCCTGCAGCAGTAGAGGCGGAGAAACAAGAGTAACTTTGAACTACAGAGTTTTGCATTAAGTGCAGAATTTTGAGAACAAGGAGAGTACCGCTAGTCTGTACACCCGTGACTGTCAAATGCTGCGAAAGTTCGATACTATTGTATAAAGGCGCCTCCCTAGCACCCGGCCTTCTTGTCACCGTCACAAGCGTTACTCGACTGTTACTTTTGCTCCATTGGTAGCCTTATTCGCAGCTGATGTTGACACTTCATACCCTTTATGAACGTAGTGCTTACTGGGGAAATTGCATTCTCCTGGTGCATGCAAAGCAACAGAGCCAGGGACCGGTGGAGGAATATTGAAGAGGATGCAAGTGATTACTTTAAAGGAACCCCAAGCGTTTTATCAGTGCCTAACGGATTTGTCATTGTTGCAATACTGTTCCACTGCCCTTTGCCGTTTTCAGAATCCTGCACATTGCTTCAGTCTGAATTAGTAACAAATACCTGCCAGCGCAGATGGGCAACTTATGAGCCACTTGGCTTATTTTGTAGTGCTTGGTGCATAAGACCAAATCACGCGTACTCTCTGGGAAGAAGGACCATCAAACTCTGATTCACACAATAAGGTCTGATGCAATGTTTCACTAGCAAGGTGCAGCACTTGTGTGCAGCACGACTACAAAGCGAATAATGAACTGGCTGTACTGCGCAGCAGCTACCATGCTGCCCTCACTGCCCCAAAGATGCACATTCCGGCTTATTGCATATTACCAGTGGTATGTCGGGCACTTCGGCTTTTCCAAGCATGGTCTTAAGAGAGAGAGGAATTGCCATAGAAGCCTCTTGCCACTGACAGCCAAATTGGCACCCCAAGTCATTGATATGTAGCTCTTTGTCCTAAAGCAAGTGCTCCAGCAGACGAATTATTGCCTTCAAGGTACTGTTCATGCGCTAAGCGGCTCTTGAAGGCTGAATATAATTGTTTCCCCATACAGAGCGCGTCAATTTCTCCACGTGGAGAAGGCGCACACTAAGGCATTTTTCTAGGTATAGGGGCCTCCCCATAACTCTACATGCGTAGCATAGATCCGGCAAGGATTTGCATTGTGCCTGAGTATCGAACAGTACTGCGTCGAAATATCTTTCCCGTCTGCACCACACCAAACAAGATCGGGTAGCACTAACATATCTAGCTCTACGAACGCATGAAAGTTCCATATTTTTTCAACGTCTCAAAACATTGGCGGGCAAAGTACAAAACTGACGCCTTCACCATTACTCTAGACACATTGCAAAGAAAAATGTTTGTGATAACAGCAGGGCTTTATGCAGCAGGCTTACTCTCTGGTGGCCCTTGAACTGTACAGTTACAATAAGTGATGCTGTTCTCTAGCTTCCCGCCGTTTCTCCTCAATGTAAGAATCCTTGACCGCCTGCAGATTCACTGCAATAAGAGATTTGGTTTTTGCTAAACGGTCAAGCACGCTGCTGCAGGAATCTTACAAAAAGACTCAAACAGTGGACTTTTCTGTTTAGACTTTAGGCTTGGCGACCTCCAGTTCTTTGTGTAATCTTTCGATCTCATCTCTCTTGTTCGTCACCTGTAGAAGCATATCAATGTAGGATAAGTACATACCCCCGGTATTTTCTGGTCATGCAACGTTTGACAGAGGATGATCATCGGTACTCGCATTACTACCATGTTTGCCGATCAGCTGGTAGCGTTTGCGCTGCCGCCATAATCTCATCAACAGGCCTACATGCGTGTAAAGCTGCAGCCTGTCCGTACTGTTTTTCCTTTGTTCAACGGAACACGACCGTAAACTAAATACAATACCGAAGCCCCTTGACGAACTTTATGAACACTTCTTCGTAAAACTCAAATGTACAACGATCAAATTCGTCACTTAGAATACAGGGAGAAAAATAATGGTACGGTCATCTATGCAACCACCGAAGCAATTCAAAATGTCAATACACTGTAGCTATAACGCTCACAGTAGGCCGCGGAAGGCTTTACAAAGCCTCCCCGACGTTTAAATCGAGTAGCTATTTCAAGGCTAACGGCTTACTTCTTTGTGAAGCACATGTAGCTCTGACACAGCACTGCGGAGCATCTTCGTTTTCGCCCGGACATCCTGCAGGAAAGAAAAAATTAAGGAAGGGGGGAAGCTGCTCATTTGAATTTCTACAAAAATACCGACTCACTTCTCACGGCAGTATGCGAAAGGGATCGTACCGTTTGCAGGTTTTGCATCTGCACGAAGACCTCGGCGCCTGGTTGTTTTTTGAGCGCGACCTACGTGGATATGGAAAAAAACGCAAGTGGGTTCATGACTTGACGTTAAACTATCATCTGCATGGCTTTGGTTGATCCCTGCCTGGTGCTGTATCTGTTGGCTTGCGTACCTTCAGCTGCGCGAATAGTTTTTCCCTTTCCTGGATCTGCAAGTCTCTATCAATCACCTAGGGAAATTAAAGGCATTGCAGTCTCAATTTTTGTTTGTGTTGCGAGGGTGGGGCCTAGTTCCGCCTAGAAGTGGTGCTCTTTTGGGAACAGTGTAAGGGTCTTTACTTCTTCGGTCTTGGCAATGAGCCGCTTTTGTAGGGATTGAACCTTCTTTACTAGCTCCAACTTGGCTGGATCGCTTCCTTCGAGCTGTCTCCACCTATGAACGTTCAGAGGCGTCGAGAGGGCCTCAGTTAGTGCCCGAACTTTTGTTCTCTCTGCAGGCCAATAAACTCACCAAAAAAAAAGTCAATGCTGTGCCTTTATTGCTGCAACAGGTGACTCTTTTAATGTTACGTTAATGAAAATCCCTTATCCTGCCCCCGAATTGGCGAGAATGCCCTGCCTTGTTGCTTTTACGTGTTAAAAGCTGAGTATTTCTGCGAGGAGCCCTCCTCTGAATCGCATGCTTTTCCGGATGCCCTTTCCGTGCGTACTAATCCTCACTTCAGCTCCGGAAAAGCCAATTTAAAATTCTGGTGAAGTTTAATGCTTGTAGCGTTTGGCTGCTTGATCGATTAATTTCCTTATAGGCCAGTGTGGCAACTATCCTTTAAGATGCAAACAGAGCACCTTGTAGCAGCTCTTTTTGTAGCTGTAGAATTTCTCGCTTGAGTGCCTCCATCTCAGCAAGGCCACCTTCAAGATGACGGAGTTCTTGTCTAAGTGCGATGCATTGATGACTCCACTCTTTTATCTCTTTCAACCTTGCCTGAGGGATTCCGGTAAAGTACTCTATCCGGTATTCCAGGCTACAAACACTAGGATCCCCATGAGATGTGCTGCACGCTTTGAAAGGCTAGTGAAATAATGACCCAATGGAGAAATTTACATAGCAGCTGTGTTCGATAAGCCTACAGTGTCCCAAGGCGTTGGAAAGCATACATCTGGTTTCTTACCTTATACTGGGCTTCACCTTTCGAGAGGGTTGATTCCTGGATTCTGACTTTTTCGTAGAGAAGAGACAATTCTTGATTTCGCTTCAGCAGTTGACTCCCCAACATATCCCTCTCTGCTAATACCTGTGCGAAACAGATGCTGAAGCTCGAAGCTGCATGGCGTATACAAGCTGCAGACCCTTAGCTCCCCTGGCACAGGATCTATTGTACTGCTGCTCATAGTTTTCTTTTTCGAATGCCTTACGGCGGAATACTCTTTCCCCTGGTTTGCTCGTTCTGTTGCAGCTTGTTGTACTGTATCTTCTAGCTTTTTAATCTCTCCCCTGTATGTATGTCGCAGTCAACGACGGGTGAAATTTTTAATTTTGAGCGTAAGTGCCAGCACATGGTACAAATCCTACATTTCTTGCTCTTATAAATGATTAATTCTTCTGTAAGATGCTAGCAATTCAATTCTGTGGTATGCCTTTAAGACTAAGGTTTTTATATCATTTATATGAAAAGTGCAGAAAGTGTTCGACTTTTTGGAGACTTGCTTTTGTGCGACAATAATTTGCTCTAGCGAACTGAGCTTCTTCTCGGCCTTGCCCAGGTCATCCTTCAGTTTTTCGTTTGCTGAAGACATTCTTTTGCGCTCAAAATGTTGTTTCAGTAGCCCTGCATCTTTTGCCTTAATCTCCTCCTTAAGCTGCCCAACCTGCTGGAACATCAGCTTAAACTTGCTGCAGCGCCACATCAAGGAAATTGTACGCTACAACTTGAATCAGGTACATCTTTTGTATGAACCTAAGAAGCCTTCGTCCGCCTTATGTATTGACAGACATGAATATTGATGGTATCCACATTTTCAGGTAGCCTCATCAGCTACATCAGGAGACGAAGCCCCGAGCAAAAGAACAAGTTAGTAGAAAGCCTCTTTGTACAATGAATTGAGTATCGCAAACGCTTCTGTCGGTGAATGCGAGGTGAATTTAGACTCGGATGTTTGCATCGCTTCGTGGTAACCTTTGTTCCTCACTCTCCCCACCTTGCCCAAAACCTCGTGCACGTAGTTGAGCTGCCTAACTGAAGTATGCATAAAGTGTGCTGGATTGGATTGCACTTTACTTTTTAAGCTCTGTCATTTCGTCCAGGCTTGCAATTAAATTTCTCGAGAACAGGTTTCTGTCAGACCTAACAGCCTCATACAACATTTTTTGGGCCGATAGTTTCGCTCGCTGTTCTCCAATAGAGCGTTGCAGCTCAGCTACCCGTAACTCCTCGTTTTTGAGTTGTTCTACATTTTCCAGGTACCTGGCCACACATTACATAAATAAGTGCTAGTTCGTAAGCCTAAGGACATTCTTCCTAAATGGCTTTTCATGGCACACAACCAGATGGGTTACTTGGGAAATGCTTAACTTGGGATGTTCCAGGACCAAAGAACTGCTACAACCCAACAGGTTCGCATTATCTGGGTTGTAGTGGAGCACTTGGAGTTCTGCTTCACTTACTTTTGATTGCTTTTATTCAGAGTGTGTCCGTAGCGATCCCTCTCCGCCTCAAGTGCCTCAACCTTCTGCTGTAGTTGTTGGCACTCCCGCCGGAACCTGTTGTTACAGCAATACCACAAGATGCAGTGAGTCAGATGCGCAGGTCCGAGCCTCGAATTTCACGCACACTATATGGTCAACTAACAAAACTACAGGCCAAATAAGAGCGAAAACCCTATACGTCCCGACAGACAGAAAACAGCACACACATCGCACTGCCGGAGGGGCACTGAGGTGCGGTAGCGCCGAAGGAAATAGTTCTAGAGTTGGCGATAGCACTAGAAGTGAACTTACCCAGTAACCTCCTTCTCAAGGTATTCACAGTGCGTCAACTGCCTTTTGGCGAGGTCTGCGTGCTTTTTGGCACTAGCGTCAGAGTTTACAAGGTTTTTTGATAACAAGTCCCTATTCACAAAGCAGCAATAAGAGCAACTCCATGTGCCTTTTGATGAAGGTAGATGGAGCGATGCATCCTCACCATGTTTAGGTATTGAAGCCCTAAAATAAGAACAGTAGTACAGCCAATGCCAATCGCTGAGATGCAGTGAGGTCATAGCCACAGCAACCAACTAGCATTTTTGACTGAGCCAGTAGCTAGGCATCACTTAGTTGTCTTTAGTAAAGCAGTTCACCTCTCGCGTAGGAGGGATTCAATTTGTCGTTTATCATTATCAGCCTGTGTGTACACCAACCACAACACAAACTACAACTGCAAGAGCGGTGACAAGTACAGCCATTGCAGTGACGAAGAAAACATTTTGTGGGAGGGAAATGCGTGTACACAAGTCTACAGCGGTAGCTCCACAAGTTTCCCACCGGCGAGGGACAACAGCGCAGGCCATGTTGTGCTTTACCTGTTGCTTTAACGTGTCCATTTCTCTCTCCGATGCAGCAGTTTCAATCTTCAGCGCTAGGGAGCCGGCGCGTAAAGTTTGGCAACGCATCGTACATTTGTATCGTTTTGCAAAAAAAGTACTATTGTGTTCGGGTGAAACTTAGGCTACAAAGCATTGACCTAACAGCCACAAGTCCCTCATATGCAGGCTGTGCGAAATCCGCCAGTAGGAGCATACTCGTTGCTTGTTCCTCGAGAGTGCGTTTCTCTCCTTCCAGAATCTGCATCTTTTTTTTCAAAAGTTCATGCAACTTGAGGATCCGCTCCTGAAATCAAGGGGGCCGGACAATAGGCATCGAAAGTTTTCCAGGAATCTAGGGCAGGCCAAAGAGCGAAGATGGGAGGCGAGCACAAGAGAAAAAATGTATATTCCACTACTCATGGAGGCGAATGAAAAGTACTTTGACGAACATTTTTCTAGGGTGCCTGGAAATTGCTCTGCTACCTTCTCAGATCTCATCCGATCAATTTCCTCTTGCTTTCCCCTTAGTTCAGCTTGCCTTTCACTACACAGACAAGAGGCACAGCAGCATTTTACAAACTGCACATCGTGCGTATCTTCCTTACTCCTGAAGAAGTATTCTTAACTGTCGATGCTGATACGGTAGACTATTTGCTGGCGCATGAGAAACTTGTGATTGAAATAGGTTCATATGCCAGGCAGTTCACACTCGTTTGCTGCTCTTAGGTGACTATTCTTGTATATCTGGTCATTCAAACGTAACTCGGTTTGCTGCATGGCGCACAGCAAAGTTCCAACTCCATCAGCAATGCAGGAAAGCTTCTTAAACGGTGTGCATTGTACTTAAATACTTAAGGTGCTTATGACGGTCATTCTTTGGCATTAGCAACGACGTACACTAATGCGTTTCTGGATTTCCTGCGCTTGTTGCACTTCCTGCTGAACCTGTTGTTGTGTTGCGGCAAGCTGCTGATGCAGCGCTGCAATCTGTAGAACGCAATTGAGCGTCCACTTACTGGCACACATTTTGCCTGAAATACGTCAGTTTGAGTGCTGGCGCGGAAAAATCAAGCAGCCTGTAAGCAGTGCGGTGGAAGTGTAGGGGTCTGGCTACCTGCTCCTCCGCTTGCGCTAGCTCTGCTTGTTTCTTGGCAAGCTCCTGCTGTTGCTGCTCAAAATGGCCCCTGCACCGGTACGCTAGCAAACCCTGATTGCATGTTTAGTGCCATGTGTGGTCATATATAGCTCAGCAGTATTTCCTCTCATGATATGCCTTTGGGTAAGCAATACGTTACGCATAGATCCGTGAAGCGGTTTCTAATTTGAACTTTTGCATAAGGTGGTAAACCCCCGTGCTTCTTGACTTGTTCTGTTTAAGCTGTCTTTCCAGCCTTTCTCTTTTTCTAGCTTCTTCCTCGGCAGCAGCTCGCCGGTCTTGTAGCTGCTCTTGAGTGTCGTAAAGCTCCTGTAAACCTGACAGAAGTACGTCTACACGGGGGCTAAAGTTACATCAGGGTGGGTGGTGGTTTAGCAGTGGGGTACCTTAGCAAGCATTTGAACGGTACCAACCTATAGTGAACTTTTTATTTGCAACTTGTGCGCACTGAATACGCAGAATCACCTAATGTATACCGTACATACGCACTTCGCGCTGCTCCACAGGGGTGCAAAGAGAGAACATCAGCCACAATTCACTCTCTTCCCACAACTAACACAACTGCATTTTCTCATATCGGCTTGCACTGTAGTGTGCCCGATTAGTAATTCAAGGCATTGATCTTGGGGAATATCTTGCCCGTAGATAGTCTTGTCTCCAACTCCTTGATGGTTTTCATGGCTTCAGCGTTTTCCGCAGTGAGTGACTCGCTTGTGGATGTGAGTTGGTCGGTCACTGCAGCAGTACCCATAGAATTGTTGAAACATTGGCTAGCAATGTAATTTTAAGAGCTCGAATTGCTAGAGCTATAGCGGTTAATAAAGTGTTTACTTCCTTTATTTATGAATAACTTGCAGCTTCATATCCCGCTCTTTAGGCTTATTTACTGGATTGCAGCTTGTCTCTCTCTTGCAGCAGCTCGTTCAAGCGAGCAGTTTGCTGCAAGGACCGCCGTTCTTCTAGCTCTATCCTCCTGCGGTGTTGTCAAAAACAATCTTCTGATGTGAAGGTCAAGGCTTTGGGGAAAATTAGCCGGGCTGAGGCTTTTCGCTCACTTGTAGAGTTCGTCTATTTGAGTGCGGAGTTGGTTCGCTGCTTTTGTCTCCGCAGCCTCCCGGGACTTTCCATTAGCTACCTCTATGAGAGAGGCACTCAAATCCTGGAAACGTCGTACACAACAAGTAAGGGACCACTTTGTTGACTTTTATCGACTGCAATACATTGGGTGAGCAGCAGAATAAAGTCCGGAAAACAGGCTTGAGGTTTGGCTTACCCGCTTGAGGCACTTGATGGTTTCTTCTTCACTGTTGGCGCCCTTGAGTGCTGCTTGCACTTGAGAGGCGTTTGCTGCAAGTGCGTTGCTCATTTCCATGCACCTGATATCAGTAGACGCAGTCTATTAAAGAACAGCTGTATGCAGTGGGAAAGCGATCGCCGATAGAGCTCTGTGCCACGGCATAGCAGATCCTTGTTTATGTACTAGAAAACTTAGCAGCGGACTTTGTCTTGAGCTCGTGTTCATTTTTCTGAGCTATTCTTAGCTGCTGGTGGAGTTTTTCATATTCCTGGCGCAAAAACCCCAACTCCGGATGGGCCGCCAACTCCTGAGGAGGAAAATATCTTGTTGCCTCTAGTGTACACTATTGTTTGAAACAGTTAGACATGTATTCACGCATATGCAGCTCATATAGGTCTAAACACTATAGGGAGCTGGCGCTGTAGAAAGTAATGCTGCGTACACGCAGCAATTGTTGTCACGACTGGCAGCTTTGGATTGGTCGCGGCATCCAAAGGGCATCAAATACACATAGAAAGCAGTTTAATCAACTCCTTCGAGAGCTTAGGGCATCTTTCACCTTAAGTACTTCCTCGCGTTCCTGCTCTAGTGCTCTGAAGGTTAGATGAGCTATGTAAGAGTCGTCGAGGCCCAAGTCGCCAGGTCTCTCAGTAGATGCATCACCCGCTTTTAGATTCTCTGGTCCCGGTCCAGAAGGGTCTACGGATGCGCCAACAGCAAACGTGCTTCTACAACCTTTGCACGTTGGTACACTGGTGACAAGCGAAAAAGAGCGCCTACTTCATATGTGGGAACTCATCTGTGGGGATGCCTGGGTGTTTTGTTAATCGCACCTGCCAAGGGGTTCTTTGTACAGCCAGCAGTGGAGCTAAACTTCTGATTTGCCAAATTTTGGAAAGCAGCAGAAACTGTTTGTCCTGTTGTTTGAGCAACGAACAAAGTAAGTTTACTGTCTGCTTCAGGGGCAGAGCATACAATGACCTGCCCATCACGGTCACCGTCTTCCTCAACGGATCTAAGCAATTCCATGGCCAGCTTGTGTTCTCCATCTCCGATATCCTGCTGCTGCTGCTGGTAAGATTGTGAATGGATGGCTCCTGTGGAGGCATCAGGAACTGTTGCTAAAGATCCTTGCTCCTGTACAGGATGTTCAACCTGAAGTCGACTTACAACCTCGGCTGCTACCTCTTGCTGGAATGCTGTTTCCCTATAAGTGTCATGGTCAACTGCCTCCGCTGCAGCGGCTGATGAGAGATCTGATGGCGCATGTATAGCTGCTTGTGAATGCCTGCTGCTAGAAGTGTGGCCTGCGTGCATTTCCTGTTCCATTGGTCTAAGGACCACTGCTATTTTCTATGTTCCCAGTGCTAACTTAGATGTTAAAAGTCGGCAAAAAACCCTGGCAAACTAGCTACAGACATCTGTGAAAAGGAATTCAACTTTTCCCTATGCCAAATGCAGTGCTTGGTAAACAGACAACCATTGGAAAAAGGCTTAAACTCTTTGCAATTTGACTCCTGTAGACGGTTTTCGAAACACCAGGTGATTTCCCAGACTACACTCCATGCGTTTCTCCATGCAAGCCGAAAACTAGTCTAATTGCTTGCTAAATCCAAGATACCAGTTGTATTTCAATTAGAAGTACCACGTATTCTTACTTCTGCTTTAGGAAACAAGGCAACATCTCCCGGCTTTGGGCGATGGTGCCACTACTGCTGCAGGGGGGACCAACACCGAGCGATTCCTCCTGTAGGCTCAACAGCAAATTTATAAGGTCTACCGCAACAGTAATCTTATATTTCACTCTCTGTATGGCTTGTGTTGCCGCTTCTTCAATGCTCGGGTACCTCGCAACGGGGCTGGAGGAGTCTAGGAGATGATGTCCCTGTTGTCGTAATGTTTGCGCACCAGATGGCATTATTGTACCTTGGCATTGCAATATTATCGGTAGGTCCCAGGCTTCAGCGTGAATTATTCCAAAATTGGTCGTGTCATTGTGTAAGCAGTACTATGCTAACAGGGTCACTTCAGCAAATTTTCGGTTCACCACGACCCGGATTCCGGATACTTTCTCCTCCATAGAGCCTATGCTAGGCAAGAAGCCAAATCAATTAATGAGGGTACCTTTTTTAGAGAAATTCGCAGATACTCGGGCGTTCAGACGCGCATTATCTCTTCGTAACATCACTTACGTTCACGAGGGACCAAAGCAAGTCTTAACTTTCCGCGCAACAGCTTCTCGAAGACCATTAATTCCCACTCTCATGCTTGATGTCTTTATATGTTTCGTAAACGAAGGTCCGGATAGGCCTTTCATGCAGAAGAAGACCCGCTTCTTTCTGGATTGACGAGGCATGGGTGGGCCAAACAAAAAAATTCCCTCGAGACCAGTACAATCTCAATCTGTGGACAATACATTAAAATTATGATTGTTGAGTTTTTATACTTTGATGGTTGGCTTTATATATTGCGTCTGCGCAGAACATGCAATGCCCTGCAGGCTACATGGAACTGAATTACGAACAACAAAGCGACTTGCTGTTCTTCCCAACTTGCTCAGGAAATACCATAGCCGCATTGCCTCTCTAAGATCCTGGCTCTATACGTGGGCGGTGACTGCAGGTACAGCGACTATCGGCGCATTCGGCCCTGTTTTGCTCCAGAAGGAGCCTACGGCAACGATCCAAGCTAACTCTCCATTAGGAGACACTAAGTGGTGGACACAATAAAAGCATAATAGAAAATTATCAAGATTCTTCAATAAAAACTGTTCTTATTCCTTGCTAATACCCGGACAGTTTCCTGAAAGATGAGAGTGGGACAGCTAGAACGTGCGTAGACCTTCCATGCACGCTGAGCACTCACAACTAGTTGCACAAATGATATGGCTAACACGCAGCCAGTAGGTCTTCTTGTATGAGCTAGCATCACTTTGCCTTGTTTAGAATACACCAACGGTGAAGGCTATCAGTCAATCCTTTCGAGTTCTTAGGTAAATGTACGAGGCATAGTAGAAAGTAGTTATGCGTGGCCTGCCCCGCTATACTATCCCTCAACCAACTCAAAAAGCACGCCCTAGTGCTCCGTATGTGACCAACGAAAGCAACCACATGCAGGACACTTAAATTGTTTCCCCCCCTCTCACCACTCTCGGAGCAGGCAGACACGCGAAAACAGTG